CCCATGGACACTGTCAGCGCTGCAGCTGCCGCAAGTGCTGGCGTGAGCAGCATGTTCTTCCTGGACCCCGAGGGCAGGCAGATAGCTGAGCTGAAGAAGTGGCTGGACCTTGCCGAGGATGAGTACTGTATGGGGAGACCCATCCGGCCGCTGTTCATCAACGGTCTGGTCAAGGTGGGATATAACGGCCTGACCAAGGACGGAGAGCTCCTTGTGCAGCTTGTGTCCAACCCACATGGAACAGGGTTTGGAGTGAGAAGATTAGGCGTGGTAGATGGGTGATGCATGCAGCTTTGTGCACTATTGAGTAATGCACAGCTGAGCGACCAAGGGGAATGCACGCTTACCATCTTGCGCCCATCTTGTGCCCGTTGTGCAGACTGGCAAGTCCTACATGCTCAAGGAGGTTCTGCCTGCTGTGGCCAACACCTACTACAGCAGCGGCGGCAGTGGCCGGCAGCACGCTGGCACGGTGCTTTCAGAGCCCAACTTCCTGCACGTGAACTGCTTGGGCTGTGATCGCAGCAGAGGTGTCAGTGGCTTCCTTAAGGAATTCCTCGCTGTACTCAAGCGGAGCGCCGCCAAACAGCAGCTCTCTGCTGCCGCCAGCACGCCTGCACCCCGCGGCAACTCGGCTGTCACCGCAGCGGGCGCCATTCAGGACTTCATGGAGCGCCTGCCACGGGACCGCCTGAACTTCCTGCTGATTGACGAGGCGCAGAGTTTTTACCTGCTTGAGCGGGCTATGCCCGGCAAAAAGTCGCCCGGCAAAAGTCCGCGGCGAAAAGTCGCTGTCCGCGGCTCAACACTGGACGAGGATGCAGTGCGGCACATGCGGCGGTAAATCAGCACAAGGTTTCCCTAACCGTGTCGTGTGATCACATGGGCGAGGATGAGGGGCAATGGCCAGTGAAACGCGCCCAGGTGGAGCTTCACACGAGGGGCAGAAGGCACTAAGGGGAGATCGCTGCGAGATTCAATTGTACAACATAAGCATATTGCACAAGGGGCAGAGGTCTGCACGCATGCCTACAGCAGGCGTACGACACAAAGGAGCTGACATATGGACCATTTTCCTTCCCTCAACTGTCGTGTGTACTGCAGCATCTTCAAGGAACTCCTGCTGGACAGCCCCCACTGGGTCGCCTGGGCCGTCACGGGCAGTTCCATGGCGACGCTATGGGCCAACGTTGCAGTCACCCCGGTGAGCAATTGGTGTTGCAGCAGGGGGGGGGGTAGGCACTTCTGGGGGGGTGCATATGCTTCATTCTCAAAGAGCTAGACGGGAGCGTTCTATATCTGCTTTCAGAATGCAAATGGACCCAGGAATACATAAGTTATTGGTCTCCAAAGTTGGTTGTACGGCAGCATGTGGGGTGGTGGGTCCGGGGCTCCGGGAACAATGTCGAAGGGGTCCCGATACAATGTCACCAGTGGCTAAAACGTGCCAATATGGACATCAATCGCTTCACCTTGACGAGATCCATTGATTGAGCTAGTCTGCTGTGATGCTA